CGCACAGGGCCGCCGAGCGCGCGGGGGCCGGGGGGCGGCCTGGCCCTCGGCCGAGTACAGCGAGATGGTGGGGCCGTCGGTGCCCGGGACCTGGACGGAGAACCTCCGCGGCGGCTGCAGGTCGAGCTCACTGCCCCGCCGAACCCGTGTGAGATGGGGCGACAGATTGAGCACAGATCCACTGCTCCCTGGCCAGGCCCGTCCTGAGCCCAGCAGCGGTGTATGCGCCGCGCCCTCCTGGCTTGGCCAGGAGGGCGTATACACAACTCTTGGGTTCAGGATGGGCCTGGCCAGGGAGCAATGAATGTGTATAGATTCGATCGCCCGATGAGAGAGAGAGAGAGATATAGACGGAAAAGAAATATGTTTAAAAATGAATTGTAAATAGACCGTTTTATAACTCGCGATAACGCCCGTGACCACTGGCACCCCCCTCCCCTCCCCATCCCCCCCTGGTGACATCACGATTCGCGCCGGCGCCGTCTGGGAATGAGCCATTCTGAATTGATGAGATCCACAAGCCCTTAAGGACACGCGCTTTCGCTATGAGTGTCTGGCGTGTTTCGCGGTGGAGGAGGTCAGATGGCCATGAGGAAGCCCGCGCATTGGCGCGGGGGCATGCGAAAGTTGGGCAGTCACTGAGGGGGGGGGGATGGGCATGGGGAAATTTGAGCCAGGTCTGGATCGTTGAGAGGGACGATGTTGACAGGGGGGACGTTGGACGGGCATGGGGGAGGTTGGGTGGTCCTGGGGAAGGCTTGGCGAACGTCTGGGGGGTGCGGGCCCCCCGACCAAAGCCAGAAAATTCCAAGGGGGGCCAAGGTCCCCCTGGCCCATCTGGCCAAAGCTGGGGGGGTCCAGGCTCCCTCCAGCCAGACTGGCGGGGCTCTGGGACCCGTCTGGCTACGACTGCGGGGTTCTGGGGCCTGTCCGGCTAAACCTGGGGGTTCTATAGACTTGTCCATCTAAGACTGGGGGATTCCACGGCCTAAGGTTGGGTGGCTCTGGGGCACCTCCAGCTAAGGCTGGGAGGCCCCGGAGCCCGTCCGGCTAAGACCGGAAGGTTCTCGAGCACGTCCAGGGTAAGAGAAGAAACCCGTTGCTTCGCTCATGGGGGCCCGTCTGGCCAAGGGTGGGAAAGTCCAAGGCCCGTCCGGCTGAGACTGGGGGGTTCGGGGCCCGTCCGGCTAGAGCCGGGGAGCTCCAGGGCCTGTCCGGCTAAGGCTGGGGGGGTCCTGGGCCCGTCCGGCGAAGGCTTGGGGGCTCTGGGGCCCGTCCGGCTAAGGCCTGTGGGGTCCAGGGCCCGTCCGGCTAAGGCCGGGGGCCTCCGGGGCCCGTCTGACAAGTCCACAACCTTCCCCTCATCCTTGCGAACTCCTCCATGACCTTCCCAACTTCTTCGCGCCTTCCCCGCGCCTTTTCCCAGTTCCCTCATGTCCGTCCCAATTTCACCCTGGCCATCCCACTGCTCCCATGTGCCATCGTGTTCCCCCGTGGTCGCCAAACCTCTTCCGCCTGCTGGCCACTTCCCTGACGCCCGCGCAGCCTCCTTCCCCGGGCGCGCAATTTACCATCTTCGCCATCGCAAGCCCTTCTCCCTCATGACCTTCCTCACCTCGTTTGCGAGTATCCCCCGCGACATCGCTTAGAGACCTGTGAATAGCATCATATCATAGAGCATGCCCAGGCGGCGCTGCCGCCAATCGTGACGGGACGGGCCCCCTCGCCTCCTCTCCCCGTGGTCACGCCCGTTGTGGCTCGAGGGAAAAAATCCGGCAAGACGGCGAAACAAACCACAATGGTCCCACCAGCGCTGTGGGCGTGGGGTCGTCCTCTTCCAAGACCGCCTTCCCTTCGGGGAGGGATAACCTGCCCCCCGCATCCCTGAAGGTTTCCTGGCCCCCCGCACGATGTGCCCGACGGCCTTTTTTGCCCAAGATGGCTCCAAGAGGGCCCCCGATGTTCCAAGATGGCCCCAAAGATGGTTCAATATGGCTTCCTCCGAGATGCCTGCAAGAGTCCACAAAAGGACCACCAGACGGCTCCAAGTGTTCTCGGAGACCCCATCAGGACTTCCCCAGGAGGCCAAAATCACTCAACAAATGAATGAGCTGAATGGCGTTTGTTTTCTCGCCGCTTCGCTTCCGATGCGTTTTTGAAGCATCAAGGAAGCCCCAAGACGGCCTCAAGAGTACCCAAGAGCGCCTCCAGAGGGCCACAAGAAGAGACCATGATGGCCCAAAAGGGGGCAAGGGAAATTTAGGACCGTCCCTCTTTGGATCGACGTCCTCCAAGATGTCCCCAAGAGGCACTCCAAGGTTCCCGAGTGGTCCCCAATAGGACCCCAAGAAAGCTCCAAGACCCTCCAAAATAGCCGCAAGAGGAGCCCAAGACCCTCCAAAATAGCTCCAAGAGGGTCAAGAGAGAGCTCCAAGAGGACCCCAAGAGGGCCTCCAGAAGACCCCGGGATGGCCGCCAGAGTCTTCATCCTCCTGGCCCCTCGCGGGGTCGGGGCGCGCGCAGAGGCACGGCTGCAATGTCAATCGCCCACCAGCAGACGACCGAATTTGTTTTGAGTCAGCGGGCACAAGCGAACTCGAGAAGGAGGAAGAGGAAGTCCCGTCTAAGGCCCGGAGCGGGCGGGACGCTTCAGAAGAAAACCTCGATGATCACCAGTGAATGTCAGCAGCCCAGCGCACGAAGTCTTCAGCTCTGCTCTGCCAGCATTGCGCCACTCTCGCTGTTGCCTGCCAATTTCGCAGGCCCTGTGCTGCACAGAATCTCCGCCAAGGGTCTTCAAACCTCATCCACGGCCGCGATGACGGGCGCGCAAGCCTCCACGATCCCAACTCGGACACGGCGACCCGCCATTCCGAATCCCTCCAGATGGCCGCCTTCTTAGCCAGGGCTGAATAGTTCAATGTTACAAATTTGGCGGCGAACTTCCACTTCGGCCGAGTATGCTCTGGCGCCCATTATTCAACGCCGTCGTTGCCTGCGTGCTCCCGCGGTTTATAAATGACTCGCTGGGCCCAATCCACCCACTGTTCGCCCTCTTGCCGCCGGCAAGCAACGATGCGCCGAAGCACAGCGTGCTGCGTGGCCTTGAGTCTCCGCAATTCTGCTGATCGCGGCGCCCACGACTCAGCGGCCCACAGCACGCTCTCCGCGACCGCAGCATCAAACAGCTTCATGCGCTTTCTCAATGAATGCGATTGAATCAATAACAGACGCTTCAGATCCCAAATTCCCCGCCACCCGGCCGCGACGCGATTCTCGATCTCTGCCCCGGTGGGGCCCCCCAGAGAAACTACATTTCCAAATAGCTCCAGGGGCTCCCCTTCCTTCAGAATATGGATGTGAAAATTATCGGCCAAAGAGACCTGGCCTCTGCGCTCGAAGTCACGGCGGTCGATCTGCACCCAACACTTGCCTGCGCGCGGGGACAGCCCCCTCCGCGCGAGACACCCCCTGAATGTCAGAATCATCCGCATCATAGACAGCCAGCTCCGCGCAATCAGTGTCTGATCATCCGCGAAAGCAACGGGGGCCAGACGGTGGCCTCTAAGGCCCTGCCAACCATTAGCGCCCCAGCCTCCCCCCCCCCAGATCACGCCCACCTCGCGCAGCACTCCGTCGAGAACGACATTGAACGGCACTGGCGGCAGAGGGTCGCCCTGCGCCGCGCCCTTCCGCGCCAGGAAACGCCCGCTGCCCGCGCCGCCCCAAAAAGGAACAGATCCGTGGACCCCGCGGCGCGGGCGTCCCAGAGCGCGCACAGCAGACGCAGATACGCCGTTGTTCATGAGCGCCTGGAACCACGCAGCACAGTGGACGCTGTCGAACGCCTTTCCACGTCCAGCGCGGCAACCAACAGTTCTTCGCCCCATCCCATAGACTTTTCACAGATAGCGCGAACAAAGCAAACTGCACCGGAGCACCTTCTGCCGGGTCTGACACCGAACTGCTCCTCAGATAACTTGGAGTCGGTGCCCGATGATATCCGGCGATACAGCACTGCGTTAAAAAGCTGTTGCCATCACCGGAATCAGAGGAATTGGCCTCTAGTTCTTCCGGAAGGACGGGTCGACCCTCTTGAACAAGACCTGGAATTCCGCGGCTTCCCATTCCTCTGGAGGCGCCAGAGATCCTTGGAGCAACGGCGCGAAGAACTCTGCGATGATCTGCACTAAATGGAAAAGGTTCGGTTTTCGACGCGTCTGCCAGCAGCCAATTGCCCGCCCCTGTTGCGCCACGCTTCAGCTTTCGAAACGCCTTCAACAGCTCCGCCTCCGCGACAAAGTCGCTGCGCTCGTCGGTCGCGAGCGCGCCGCCGCCGCCCTCCCCCTCGCGGCGCGGGCCCTCGTAGAATTGGGCGAAGATTTCGCAAGTCGACGCCGGGCCCCTCTGAGCAACGCCGTTCCTGTCTTTGACGAGCAAAATCCGGTCGACGCCCCGACTCCCCTGCAGCATCCGGCGCAGTGCCTCCAGACCGTGACCCTCGACCACCAACGATCCCAACTCCTCGTCCTGTTGCCCCCCCCGCTGTCGACGCAGGGCCCTACAGGGTCGTCTGGCGAGATCTCGCCGCCTGCCTGGGCCCGCTGCGATCCGGCGCGCCTCGAAGAGCCCCTCTACTTCCCGACCATGCTTTGGGCGAATGGCGACTGGTCTGTCTTCGCCCGCGCGCGAAACAACCAAAACCACCGCGTCAATTGGGTCCTCCGTCGGGTCATGAAGTTCGGAGATACGGTCAAGGCCGCTATGGAATGCCTCCGGCTCGCCGCCGTCTCTGGCGCGCGGCCCCCATCCCACCGTCAATTCGGGACCTCGTCGTCTCAAACGCCATCCTGGAATAGTCAGGTCCGCCACGAAAGCTCGACGGTCAGCTTGCCCGACCAGGAAAGCTACGACGCCCCCCCAGCGGGAGGTTCCAGCTGCAATTTCATCAACAAGCAGGTAAACAATCTGCCTCTTCTCTCCAGTGCCCCACATGCGGCGCGCCCACTTGCCCCCCTCAACTCCGGGCGCAAATGTCGCAACAGCTGCGAGCCTCGATCCGCGCAGCCAATCGGTCAGGACAACTCCCCCGCCGCATCCGCGACCAGAACCACACTCCCAGATGATATCAGGCGAACCCGGGAAAACTTGAACCCCGACAGTTGCGCTCGCACCGGCCCCAGCGATGTTCGCGCGCCCAGCCCTCCTGAACTACATGCGCCAAAAGATTAAGAAGGTCATCGCATTCTTCCCCCAGCCCCTCTCCGCGAGGAAAGCGCGCTGTCACCAGTCCGAGTTTGGCGCGGCCTGTATCCACATCGACATAGGCAGCCCTCCTCCTCACCGCTGCAAATCTGAGTTTCGCCCCAACATCCACCCAGCGCCGACGAATCAAAATCGCCATGATCCGCGCCCAATGTTTGCACGCACCACTGAAATAGCACGTAAGAATCAGATTCTGCACGGGGGCCCCCCTGCAACAGAATTGCGCCCAACCAATAGCACTCAGGAAAAATTGACGACAGATCTTCGATTGCTCATGCCTCCACGCCGCACGCAGTCCAGCATGCAGCCCGAAATTAGAAAAACTGCTTTTCCCCAGTAGCCACAGGCGGCCTCACAAAGCAGATAAGCATATCTCCCGACGCGCATGCGCACTGCCCCTCGCCCCCGCCACATCCCAAACCTTCCAATCCCTGCTTTTTGGTACTGCGTTGACATAACTCCTTCTCCTGCGCAGCCGCCATCAAGTCGTCATACTGCTTCTGGCACTACGCAACCTTCCCCTTCAAGAATTTTTTGGACGCCCGAGATGGGCACGGAAAACATGGGCACAATGCCCAACAACAAATGTTGTCCCAAACTGACAGCGGCCGCTGTTGGGCAGGCGGTTTTTCGTCCTCGAAGAACAACGTCCGCGGGGGCGCGAACAACAAGTCCTGTTCAAAATGAACAGGAACTGCCGTTGGGCATCGTACCCATTCTTTCCGTACCCATCTCGTTCGCGCCGAAATGTTCCCGCTGTCCTCGTCAAATTCTGTTCCCCGGGCATCCTTCCACAAAACCCTCCCCTTCGCATAGTTCGCAACGACTTGCTGCTTCGACGCCGCGCTGCCCCCGCCCCAGTTCTCGATGATTACTCGCACTACTTTCCTGACTGCTTTAGTTTTGTTGGGGCTCTCGCCACGCACTGCGTCAGGAGTAGCGCACACAGTGATATCATTACCTCGTGCTTAAGTTTCTCCCCGATTTCCCATGACATACTTCCACATGTCCTCCTCCTTCTTGGACCTCACCGCGCCTGTCGTGGCATTTTCCCAAAACCGTAAAAACCCCCTCCACCTGGTCCTTAGCTTCTTTCGTCCAATCCTGCAAGTAGTCCTTGATGCTGTTCTCCTTCGTGTCCTCGGGGAAGTTCCGAAGCAAATGGTCCTGGACCCCTCTCGTTGATCCGCTCGCCCTTCCCGCCCCCTTTCGATGCAGGCGCGCCGGCTCTCTGACTCCGTGTCGGCGACCTTGGAGGTGCAACGCCTCCAGGTGCGTGGGCGTCAATTTTCTCCCTCATATGTTCTTCCATATTCTCCTCCATCGTCGTCATTTCCTTTCGAACCCTCTCCTCCAATGATTTTGCGCACCTGGGGTTCCGTAACCAGGAGTTCCATGTCCGCATGGATGCTCGTGACGCCCACCTCCAGGGCGTCAACCTTATCCTTGACGGTTCATGCAATCTCCTTCGTTTCCTCCGCCTCTTGCCGGGCCTCCTTGATGAGCGACTTCACCTTGTTCATATTCTTCGTAATATTGCTCAGCCGTTTATCGGCCGTTTCTTCGAATTTCCGTTTGTCCTCGAATTTCCAGAACCATTCCGGACCACTGGCATCAGGCGTCGAAGCGATGTCCGTTTCATTTGCACTGCTGGAATTATCTTCGATCGCCTGCTTACGGGCACGTTGCCGCTCAGGCGAGTCCACCATACCACTGGACACACGTTTTGACTTGGCTCCCTCTGGCATCTTCTCACAAGCGCGGCACAGAGCTCGGATACTTGAGCAAAAACGGACACTTGAGCCAAAACTGATACTGGAGAAGGTGCAGACGCCAGCCAGGCAGTGGACGGGATTCGCCAGGAGCACACTGAGCACGAACCAGACGACCGAGACACGCGGCAAACGGGCGTCGCTATCCTGACCACCTGGGGGTGGCAAGCACAGCGCCGCGCGCTCGAAGCAGGGCCGCGCGTAGCCGCTGGCCGAAGAGGAGACTCGGGCAGAGGAGAGGGCAGGAGGAGGCGGCTGACTCCACACAGGAACAAAACGAAAGTACGGAAGATACGTCGTCGCGGCGCTGGCGCTGGAGACCACCCTTGACATGAATGCACTCGCGAGTGAAACCATTGACGGCTGGTGCCACATCCTATTTGCGTAGATTAGCTCGCGAAGGAATGTGTTGCGAACTGGAACTGGAACCGGCTCCCGCCTGAATTAACTCGGGAGTTAATCTGTGGTCAGGACCCCCCAAGGCAAAACAAACTAAATCGGAAGATAATCCACGGGCTGGGGTGGATCGAGCCTCCCTGGGCGCGGCGGGTCAACTCGCCCGCGGATCAGGGGAAGTCCAAGGCGGGGCAAACTGGCCAGGGCTGACACTGTCGTATTGCTTCATTCCCGATAAAATTACCATTGTCGGCACTACAACATATGCAATCAAATTCACCATCACCACCATGATGGCGGTTGCGACCGACACCTCGCGGCTCCCTGGGGTGCTGCCAAATGCGCAACTGTTCCGACGTTCGTGGGCTCCTGGGAGGCCCAGCGGAGTGGAGGTGCACGCAGATCCAGTCGAGAGCTCGGGGCTCGCTGGAGGGCCACCAACTGCGCAACTGTCGCCACTTTCGTGGGCGCTTCTGGGAGGCCCAGCGGAGTGGGGGTGCACGCAGACCCAGACGAGACCTCGTGGCTGCCTGAGGGGTTGCCAGCTGCGCAACTGTCAACTCTGTCGTGGGCTCCTGGGAGACCCAGCGGAGGGGGGGTACCAAGACGCAAACCCAAACGAGACCTCGCGGCTCCCTGGGCGTTGCCAACCGTGCAACCGTCGCCACTCCAGTGGGTTCCTGGGCGGGACACGCGCACCCAGACGAGACCTCGCGGCTCCCAGAGGGGGCTGCCAGCTGCGCAACTGCCAACCCTCTCGTGTGGGAACGGATGTGCATGCAGATCCAGACGAGACCTCGCTCCCTGGGGGCTGCCAACTGCACAACCGTTGCCACTTTCATTGGCCCCTGCGAGGTCCAGCGGGGTGGAGGCGCACGCAGATCCAGGCGAGACCTCGCGGCTCCCTGGGGGGCCACCGACACCGCAGCTGTCACCGCTTTCGTGTGCTCGTGGGAGGTCCAGTGTGGTGGAGGTGCACGCAGATCCAGACGAGACCTCGCAGCTCCCTGGAGAACAGCCAGCTGCGCACCTGTCGCCACTCTCGTGTGATCCTTGGGAGACCAGCGGAGAGGAAGCGCACGCGGATCCAGAGGAGACATCGCGGCTCCCTGGGTGGCGAGGACTGCAAACCGCGCAAATGTAGCGACGTTCGCGTGGTCCTGAGAGGTCCAGCGGAGTGGAGTTGTACAAAGATCCAAACGAGAACTCGCGGCCCCTTGGGGACTGCCAACTGCGCAACTGTCGCCGCTTTCACTCGCTCCTGGGAGGTCCAGCGGGGCGGAGGGACAAGCGTGTCCGGACGAGACCTCGCGGCTCCCCATTTGGGGCTGCATACTGCGCAGATGTCGTCATGTCCGTGAAAAGTTGGCTTAATCCGATGCTGTTTGGCGAAGCGTTCAAGAGTGCCGCAGATGGCTCAATATTTTCTTGGGTGCTGATCGCTTCGATTTATAATCGTCAAGCGTTTAGAAATGTTAGGTCTCGGGTAATTGCTTGCTTCAGGGTCACTCAATGCGAAGACGCCTCAAGCGAACGGCCGAACCTGGCTGATGGACACGTCTGGTGGTGCGACAAGGAGGAGTTACTTATGAGGGAGAGGGACGGAAGACGGGGAGCAGGAGGGACCCTCCCTCTTCCCCCACTTCTGACTATCCCTCTAATCCCCATCTCCGCCCCTCCTCCCTTCCCTAGAAGAAGAAACATAACCAACCGAATAAACTTCTGCAGGGCCCACGTCTCCTGGCAAACGCACTCCGAATACATTATATATGTGTGTATATATATATATATATACATATGTGTGTATATGATTATGCAGCCTTTCCGTCTTCCACTCCCCTTCCTCCCCCAGCCCTCTTCACCTCCGCTCCGCGTCCAACATGTCTTGATGATGTATTCAACACTGGGCCTCTGGCAACACCGATCCTTTCCACAGGGCTGGCTTTCTCGCTCTGAATTGTCTTCGACGGCCCCGAAGCCTGGCAAAGGTCCACAGATGCCGAAAACGGCAAAAACCGCCCGTCGTGTTTTTGCTTCACGATGCAAGCATGTACCCCTCCTCTGCTGAGGGCCAACGGGAGCGCATTTTTTGATTCGCGGCCATAACGGGCGCTATGGGGGGGGAGGGGGGGGACAGGAGGGGGCATGACGTAGCGCCCCCTCCCCCCCAGACTTGTGGTGCCAGACGCACTGCGGCAGTGCTGGGAGCGCACTGAGGGAGGGATCGTTACGTTATGGGGAGGGGGAGGGCGTAACGCGCGTTGTGGCCCAGCGGGTAAAAAAACACTCCAGTGGGGGGGGGGGCTGGCATAGGGGGAGGCAACATCGACCTGGAATCGGCGACACATCGCCGACGGATCGGCGGTAGGCCCCCAGCAGCAAATCCGCACCTTCTTGGGCGGGGCGGGGCCATTAGGCCCCTCTCGGCGATCAATGGGTGCTTGGGTGTCGATGCATCCCCCTGTGACTATCCCCCACGATCGTTGCCCCTGATTTCCCTCCTGTCCATTCCCGCGCCCCGACGGCCTCTCGGGACCGGGTTGCCATGGGACCGCCGGCAAGGGTTCCTGCGAAGCGGGCCGGCAGCGGGGGGCGCGCGGCCGCGGGCGCCGAGACCCTGGAGGGGCACGGGGGAGCTAGGGGGCAAGAGGGGGGAGCCCGAGGAGGAGGAGGAGGAGGGGGAGGGAGGAGGAGGAGGAGGAGGAGCAGGAGGAAGAGGAGGAGAAGGGAGAAGTAGGAGGAAGAGCAGAAGGAGGAGGAGGAGGAGGAGGAGGGAGGGAGGAGGAATGAGGACGAGGAAAAGGAGGAGCAGGAGCAAGAGGAGGAGGAGAAGGAGGAGGCGGAGGAGGAGGAGAAGCAGGAGGAGAAGCATGAGGGGAGGATTTTATTCCCAACCATCCTGTGATGTTGGGTCCTCGTTTTGAAGAGACAGCGCCCCGCGTCCCACCTCCTCTCCTCCTCCTCCCCCTCCTCCCCTCATCATCATCATCATCATCATCATCATCATCATCATCATCATCATCATCTCATCATCATCATCATCATCATCATCATCATCATCATCATCATCATCATCATCATCATCATCATCATCATCATCATCATCATCATCATCATCATCATCATCATCATCATCATCATCATCGTCATTGTCATCGTCGTCATCGTCATCGTCATCACCCACTTCGGCACACCCCTCACACGTTTCGTGGCCCCATAGGGAGCTCCACCGAAGGCCCCAGGCTGCCGTCCGCATGCGTCCCGCACACCCATTTCGGCACACCCCTCACACGTTTCGTGGCCCCATAGGGAGCTCCACCGAAGGCCCCATGGCTGCCGTCCGCATGCGTCCCGCACACCCATTTCGGCACACCCCTCACACGTTTCGTGGCCCCACAGGGAGCTCCACCGAAGGCCCCAGTGCTGCCGTCCGCATGCGTCCCGCACACCCATTTCGGCACACCCCTCACACGTTTCGTGGCCCCATAGGGAGCTCCACCGAAGGCCCCATGGCTGCCGTCCGCATGCGTCCCGCACACCCATTTCGGCACACCCCTCACACGTTTCGTGGCCCCACAGGGAGCTCCACCGAAGGCCCCAGTGCTGCCGTCCGCATGCGTCCCGCACACCCATTTCGGCACACCCCTCACACGTTTCGTGGCCCCATAGGGAGCTCCACCGAAGGCCCCATGGCTGCCGTCCGCATGCGTCCCGCACACCCATTTCGGCACACCCCTCACACGTTTCGTGGCCCCACAGGGAGCTCCACCGAAGGCCCCAGTGCTGCCGTCCGCATGCGTCCCGCACACCCATTTCGGCACACCCCTCACACGTTTCGTGGCCCCATAGGGAGCTCCACCGAAGGCCCCATGGCTGCCGTCCGCATGCGTCCCGCACACCCATTTCGGCACACCCCTCACACGTTTCGTGGCCCCACAGGGAGCTCCACCGAAGGCCCCAGTGCTGCCGTCCGCATGCGTCCCGCACACCCATTTCGGCACACCCCTCACACGTTTCGTGGCCCCATAGGGAGCTCCACCGAAGGCCCCATGGCTGCCGTCCGCATGCGTCCCGCACACCCATTTCGGCACACCCCTCACACGTTTCGTGGCCCCACAGGGAGCTCCACCGAAGGCCCCAGTGCTGCCGTCCGCATGCGTCCCGCACACCCATTTCGGCACACCCCTCACACGTTTCGTGGCCCCATAGGGAGCTCCACCGAAGGCCCCATGGCTGCCGTCCGCATGCGTCCCGCACACCCATTTCGGCACACCCCTCACACGTTTCGTGGCCCCACAGGGAGCTCCACCGAAGGCCCCAGTGCTGCCGTCCGCATGCGTCCCGCACACCCATTTCGGCACACCCCTCACACGTTTCGTGGCCCCATAGGGAGCTCCACCGAAGGCCCCATGGCTGCCGTCCGCATGCGTCCCGCACACCCATTTCGGCACACCCCTCACACGTTTCGTGGCCCCACAGGGAGCTCCACCGAAGGCCCCAGTGCTGCCGTCCGCATGCGTCCCGCACACCCATTTCGGCACACCCCTCACACGTTTCGTGGCCCCATAGGGAGCTCCACCGAAGGCCCCATGGCTGCCGTCCGCATGCGTCCCGCACACCCATTTCGGCACACCCCTCACACGTTTCGTGGCCCCACAGGGAGCTCCACCGAAGGCCCCAGTGCTGCCGTCCGCATGCGTCCCGCACACCCATTTCGGCACACCCCTCACACGTTTCGTGGCCCCATAGGGAGCTCCACCGAAGGCCCCATGGCTGCCGTCCGCATGCGTCCCGCACACCCATTTCGGCACACCCCTCACACGTTTCGTGGCCCCACAGGGAGCTCCACCGAAGGCCCCAGTGCTGCCGTCCGCATGCGTCCCGCACACCAGGTGTGTGGCGTGCCGACATGGGCGTCGCGGCGCGCGGGCGCTGCCGTCGGGGTTCCCAGGGAAGCCCCCTGCAGAGGCGACGCTCAGAGTCACGAGTACCGAGAGTCACGCAGACCCAAATTGTTCACAGTCGTATACATACATTTACACTGGGCGTATCCATGCACGCATTCACGCGAATAGAAACAATCGCGCGCTGATTCATTCGTAATCAGACTCGCTCGCGATCCGACTCGCACGCGCTCAAGCTTTCATATTCGGATCTATCGTCTTCGTTCGTGTTGTGTACACTGCCACGCATGTCGGCACACCCCTCATACGGCTCGTGGCCCCATAGGGAGCGCCACCGAAGAAGATATTCACAATTGCGGTACTCTCAACTGCATATGGTTGGGTCCTTCGCCAGGCGAATTGTTTTTCCCATCCGCTGAGAGGAGCGGCGATCCACCGCCCGCACCGCTGACGCCCCAGTCCTTGTGAGTGACCCGAACACCACCCCACAAGCAAAGACTCCATTTCGAGACAGGATGACCCAGCCCACATGAGTGGCACGAGCATCACCCCATAAGCGGAGACTCCATTCAGAGACCTGATGGTCCAGTCCATGTGAGTGGCCCGAACGCAACCACAATAAGCAAAGACTCCATTTCGAGACGGGGGCCCGTTTGGGGTGGAGAAGTCCCGACGTGCACCCGATGCACGACTGAAAAAAAAAAAAAAAAAAAAAAAAAAAAAAAAAAAAAAAAGGTGTCCAGGGACAGCAGGAGAACCCAGCAGGCCGCAAACGGCCCGGCGGCAGTGGCGAAGAAGACGCCAACTCAAAAACTCACACCGACGCATGAACGCGACCGTGTTTGAAATAGAGCGACAGACCCCCACTAATGAACGTAAGCGAACGATTTCGAAATGTAGCGAAAGAGTACCACAAATGGAGGAGGGTGACCACGTTTGATTTACATGGGGGCACACGGGGACGTACTAGTACGATTTGTCCTCCTCGGACGCGTGCGTCCGACCCGAACATATACTAGAACCATGTGTGGCATATAGCTTCCCCCGCGGTGCGGCCAGAAAACGCCCGCCATGACGCATATGTTATCACACGTATCGGCGCGCGCGTCGCCCACGCACACATTGTATTAGTATGTTGGGGTGATGCCGGCTATTTATATATATGTATATATAATGTGTAGAATAACGAAAAGAAAATTTACAAGTACGTGTACCTACATATTCGTATGCAAATATATTTGCAACTACATATCCATGTACAAATACGTATACATACACATGTGCACATCCATATACGTATACATATACATATCCAAATACATATACATATACATATACATAAACCTATACATAAACACATGCGGGTACACATACATATGTATCATATGTGCATATGCATGTGCATATACATATACATATACGTCTATACACACAACAATATATATATATATATATATATATATATATATACATATATTTATATGAATACACATGTATATTTAGACTTACATATACGCATACACATTCACATACACATATGCATACACATATACATACATTTACACTCACCTACACATATGCAGATGCATGTACATATAGATGCACATGTACACATGCATGCATATACACAAACAAGAACATGCACAGGCAAATACGTACATACACACATGTATGCATGCATGCATGAATGTATACACGTATAAATATATATATATACACACACGATGCATATAGGTATGTGCGTGACGAGGACGCCCACCAACGCACGCAGGCGAACATGTTCGACACAAATTCAGAGACGCAAAGCAATACAGGGAAGCAAACCTGTTTGACATATAGCCAGGTATGTTCACCAGCGCAAGAACGCGAGAGCGTTTAAAATATACCTAGAGACGCCGACCAATGCACAAAGGCGACCAAAATTGAAATACACCCAGGCACATCCCAACGCAGAAAGGCGAGAGGAATCCTTGCCAAGCGCCAAAGAGAAGAACCCGAATCCGAAACACATTTTCCCTGGCGGCGGGCTGCACAGGCCCGCCGCTCAGCAACACTCCAATACGAATCGGGCGGGCCTCCGCAACACTCTAGCACAGCCAACGCGGGTACGCCGTCCATTCATCCAGTTCCGCTTCGCGCGGGGAATATGCGTCAACGTCCACGCGCCGCTTTCGGATATGAAAACGGCACTCGCGAAACCGTCCAAGCGCACGCGCTGTGCGCCTCAGCCACACGTGGAAATCATAATTGCCCCCATGAACCAGGAAGAAGTGCCTGGGGAGGAAGGCGAAGCCGAAGGCGAGAACACACACCCCTCCCCGAGCGCGAACGCCCGAACACAGCCGCCAAGTCAGCCATCGATTGCTCAAGGTTGATATGTGCTTCCGCGAACGGGCTACTCAACACGAAGGGTGACTCAGCAACCCCACTACGAAGATCTGGGGCTGGAGGGGGTACCAAGGCAGGCGAAAGATCTCCCCGACGAGCCTCGCCAAGAAGACGATCACCCGCGGCGCCATGTTCAGAATGATCGGCAGGGTGCTCACTCAGAAGGGCAACGTCAGCAGGAAACCCGTCAACATCCAACTCGCAGCTCATGTCATCCACCAGCCTCTGTCAACACCAAAGGACACCACAGGCTCCAGAGAGTGCACAACACCAGC